ATGCCTCTGCGGGTGAATGGTTAGAAGAGTTATGCTGCCAAAGGGTGAGGAGCAAGGGGAAATCAGCATTTCTACATATGACAAAAGCTACAAATCGTGCCAGCCCTCCAGAAGGCTGCAGCTATTAATGTCAAATCATAAGAGCGATAGTGTGAGAATTTTCTCACACCCCTTTCACCTCTGAGCCAGGATCAAGGTGACCCCCTTCACCAAAAGCCGAGAAAAAAACCAACAATGAGGTAAGGGTAAGCAAAGGAGATGCTTGACGAAGGGTGTGGGTAGTGATTTTTGGATATTTATGAGTTTTTAGGGTAAAAAAAATCCGTAAATTCTGTAGGTGAGCACGCCGGAATGGTCAACATTGGAACCATCTTGTCCTCCGCTTTCAGAAATATATACTTTACCTATGGTCCGCTACAAAAAGTGCTTGGGTGAAGGGTGTTCTGAATGATCTATAGAGATTTTCGAGTTTTTAACATTAAAAAATTTATAACTTGCAGATGAACATCTTGTACGCCGTGATGGTCACCATTGGAAACATCTCGTCCTCCGCTTTCAGAAAATATATACTTTGCCTATGGTCCGTTAAAAAAATTGCCGGGTGAAGGGTGGTTGAGACTTTTACAGTCAGTTTCATCCCGGATTAGGCGAGACATTCTAACAAGGGAATGGTCAGAAATCGAAGTGGCCATTCTAGACAAGCTGGGTACCGTTAGATGCAGCATGAAGCGCTGACTCTAAATCTGTCTTCTTTATCTGCTTATCGCTTTTTTGGACGAAGTTATAAGCCATTAAAGACCATTATTTTGCTTAGAAATTATGCGTGAAATTGAAAATTTAGCCGTACAGACAGAGCCTTGTTCGCCTCAATGCTGGGCCAAAACATGCAGCTAGCTTACTTAAAATCTTGAAGCCAAAAGCCGAGCCAAAAGTGCAACAATTCGCTCAATTTCGCTGTTTTTATGTCTGATTTTTTCACAATAAAACCGCTTGTAGCTTCGTCCACAGAAGCGGGAAGCAGATAAGGAAGAGAGATTCGAAGTCAGCGTTTTATACTGCATCGAATGATATACAGCTTGTTTCGTTTGGCCACTTCGACTTCTGACCATTCCCTTGTAAGTGGAGCAGCGCATGCGCATCGCTGGAAGCTTCGCGAGCGCACAGCGCTGGCATTTTGCCAAGCAAAGACTAAGGAGACTGAAGAGACGCAGACATGGGTTCTCAGCACGATAGGATATATTGTAGCTGCGAAACGGCGCGAGCTGTTGCGAGGCGGACTCCCGCCAATCCAATTTCCGCCTAAAGCGGGTCGAAACTTACTGATAATGGGAGCGCTCAAGAGAGGCTTTTTTTACCATTGTAAGAAGACATCTACTTGAGTACTCCCATTATAAAAGTCTCAACCACTCTTCACCCGGCACTCTAACAAACCTCAGGCAAAGTACATATTTTCTGAGAGCGGAGGACAAGGCGGTTCCAATGGTGACCACGCGGCGTACAAAATGTTCATCTGCAATAGTTATGAATTTTTTTATGTTAAAAACTCGAGAATCTTTAAAGATCACTCAGCACACCTTTCACCCAGGCACTTTTTTGAATGGATCTCAGACACGCTGTATATTTTCTGAAAGCGGAGGACGAGACGGTTCGAAAGGTGACCATCCCGGCGTACAAGATGCTCTCCTACAAAAGTTACGGATTTTTTTATCCTAAAAACTCGTAATCTTTCAGAAATCACTACCACACCCTTCACCAGGCAGTTTTTTCAATAGACTCCAGGCAAACTATATATTCTCTGAAAGCGGAAGACAAAATGGTTTCAAAGACAGTTTTTTTGCTGACGTTGCTGTTCATCTACACAAATTACAAATTTTTTTTTCAGAAAATTCGCAAATGCTTAAAAACTTTCTAATTCTTTCCAAAACAAATTTTCTCGCATTCACATCTTTTATGGTAATTTTAAAAACAGGCAGGGTAATGTAAAAAATGGAAAAGGAAATGTAAAAAATACAAGGTGCTAATCAGAAATATAATTGTGTGCTATTCCAGCATACATCGGTTTGCGTTTCAGAAAAAGACAGTGATGACAAGGATTTGAAAATTATATCGACTAGGGAAAATGATGAGAGATCACCATGGCCCCCCCCCCTCCTTTCCCCCTCCCCCGTCGACATTTTATAATTTTTCTGCCAAGTGAAACACCCTTCACATTGGAGGGGCTGCTATCACTGTGACCCCTTCACCCTGAAGGAATCATTCTCACCTTATCGCACCCATATGTCAAATCATCCATTACCTCAAGGGAATGATCCCCAGCGGCCATCCATGCTATGCACGAGGGTAGAACCGGGGAAGGGATCAATCCCCGGTTCTACCCTCGGATCTCTACTCAGAATAGGCAAATACGCTAATTTTTAATTTCTTTTTGAAGCACCTTTGTTAAGATGACGAGACAAGGACAGTATGTAATACAATATGATATTTACAATATGTTCAATCAGTCTGTTCGGATAAAACTATAAAACTGAATACTATAAAACTTCATACATTTTGTATGAAAAATGTTCAAATCTCGTGAATGATCAGAAATACTGATGAGCTCTGAAGAATAGTGTGTGTTAAGAAAACTTGTGTTCTGTTTCAAAAAGGAATTAGAATAAAATTTTCGCGTTTGAACGATTGCCCTGTGACAAGTGGAGGACTATATGTCTCCAAAATGAGGTGGTCCCCGCGGTCATATGCAACAAATACGCACCTTTTCAGATGCATGGAGGTGTTTTGCAAGAAGTTCGCGCAGGACCTTCCTACATTCGGCGACATATGTCTTCTACCCGTTTTGACGCGGTCATTGTGTAAAGCTCGGCAATGACCGCGTAAAAACGGGTAGAAGACAATATTTATATTTTTTGAAAGTCACGTTTTCCAGAAAGCGGCATGATGAAGTCAGCTCTATAGCTCTCAGTTAGCTCATGAAGCTCTATCACCCCATCCAATCAGACTGAGTTTCTACCCTAGTTGAACAAGCAATGAATAGAGCCTGCTTTATCCTCAGTTTTCGGCGATCTCTGTATCATCATGACTTATAATAAGCGGCTTAATCTGAAGTTGTGTGGAGTTTGTCCGTTACGAAATTACAGTGAGGAATGATTTACAATAATAAACAGCATGTGAGGTTGAGATAGCGAGTATGGTTCATTTTTAACTACGGCTCCCACGTTGCAGTCAACCGAACAATGATTTGAGGGACAAGCTCTGAGACAGTGAGTTTACCACGGTTCATGATAGCCAGTGCGAACCTCTGCGAAGCAGAGGTGAAGCACTGGTGACTTATAATAAGCGGCTTAATCTGAAGTTGTGTGGAGTTTGTCCGTTACGAAATTACAGTGAGGAATGATTTACAATTGAGTTTGCTTTTGGATATCATCAAAACATTAGTAAGAATGATTTAAGAGAGGCAATAACGGAGGGAGGTGGTTTTCAAAAGGAATCGGGATTATAGCTAGGAACCAATGGCATCATCATGACTTATAATAAAATGTGTGTGTGTGTGTGTGTGTGTGTGTGTGTGTGTGTGTGTGTGTGTGTGTGTGTGTGTGTGTGTGTGTGTGTGTGTGTGTGTGTGTGTGTGTGTGTGTGTGTGTGTGTGTGTGTGTGTGTGTGTGTGTGTGTGTGTGTGTGTGTGTGTGTGTGTGTGTGTGTGTGTGTGTGTGTGTGTGTGTGTGTGTGTGTGTGTGTGTGTGTGTGTGTGTGTGTCCGTCTGTCACGAAATTCATAGAGCGTTTCGTAGGCAAGGTCTTGAGCTGAAATTTTGGTCATGGCACCATACCGGCATGTAGGTAAAAAGTGCAAAAGCACAAGCTGTTCCGATATTTGTGACCTTTGAAAACTGCGCGTCAAACGGGCCCACGCGGCTTTTGGCACGCAAAACTAGGTCATTAATTCGACTTTTGCGAAGTCATGATTTGCCTGTCGAGTACATCTGCGCCTCATGGATTCTAGCCCAAAAGGTGCTCAAAAAGTTTGCTTTTCTGCGACAACAGCGCCAAGAAGTGGTGATCGCTTAGACAGTCGATTTGGCAAGGTTTTACCTTCAGACTTGGAAAGATTTTCGCACGGAAATTTAGCTCAAAGTGACTATTATCCTTATGACGACTACCAAGCCAAAACAAATTCAGTAATCTAATCAAATTCGCGGGTGTTCCTTTGCGACAAGTTTTTTTCTCTCAAAATTACCAATCTTACGTGGAGATGCTTCAAGAATGAACAGTTGTTCACTATTCATTTGTGATGTTCAGCATCGCAAGGTGGGTTTCAAAGTCATCATTACGCGAACATGAGAAAGGCAAACGGATAGGAGAGCCAGTGCGAACCTCCGCGAAGCGGAGGTGACGCACTGGTATAAAGATATGGTGCATAGTAAACGAAGAATGACTACGCACTGCTATTACTTTCAAGTTGTTGAACATGCCTCAGAACAATCTATACGTAAACTCATCGGAGTTAGAAGTCAAGATTAAGCTTAAAAAGTTGAGACTGTTCATAAAAGACTTTTCAGTAAAAACTCTTCCTAAAAACTCGCAAACGCGTCTGAGTGTGCAGAACCGTTTATCTTGTTCCATAGCCTCATACAGCCGTAAATGGCAGCAACTTGTAAGTCCATTTGGCTTGATAGCGACCAATTAGACACACTACTTCAACCTTTCGTTGCATTTTGAAGGGTGGAGTATACTAGCTGTTCAGTCTAAGGAGTTCAAGTGAGCACAGCTCTCAGTGATAGTCATGGCTTCCACGAATTCGCAAGTTTACTTGTCAAGCACGTTCATTTGCGCTTCCAAACGCATTCGTAACGCCCTTGAAGAGAACGACCAGCTAAGGCGAAACATTTTAAGTGGGCTTTGAACGCGTAGGAACGGCCGCTATTTGTTCCCCAAGCATTTGTCGGAACAAGAATTATGCCAGCTTTGATTTTTGAACGGGAGCAGAGTTTACTGAGTGCACGTCTTTGAAAATTTTTTATGACCTCAACAACAGAAAATAAATAGGTGATTAACAAAAGCAGGAAACATTCAAAAACAGACACGCAAATTGGAAAATGCAGAGTTCGTTCAGTGTCCAGTAATAAAAGATTTCAGCTCACACTTGAATGTCTGCGGATTGGGCGTATAGGGATGACAGCAGCAACGGCATACTGATCCGGTTTGCCTGATGAATGGATATATTTTTTGAGAAAATTTCTGTAAGTGCATTAGGTGTGATAATTTCTCCTCACTTTGCATAAAAAGTCATTTTGCGGGAGAAGACAAGCGTCAAAGCTTCTTTGCCTGGTTGTCAAGTTGAGCTCACACTCACTGTGTCAACTGAACGCTTGTTCAAATTAGAAGAAACTAACCTACTCTACGAAAGCTAAGTATTCATTTATAAAAGGAGTTTCGTTTTTGCTTCTATATGGAGCGGGACAGGAGCGATATTTTCTAAATGCCTTGGAACCCGAAAGTCGTTATGAGCGACCAATAAATTACCTTTGCAAATTAGATGGCAAATGCTATGCCCTCCGTACCGTTTAGGATAATGTGTGACTGGTCTTACAGGGAATGAGCAGAAATCGAAGCGGCCAATCCAAGCAAGCTGCCTACCGTTCGATGTAGCATTCAACGCTGACTTCGGATCTGTGTTCCATATGTTCTTAGCATCTACGAAGATAAGAGCTGTTTCAGTACGAAAACATCGTGCATAAAAACTGTGAAGTTGAGCACGTTGTTGTACTTCCAGTTCTCCTTTAGGCTTCAAGAATATAAATCAGCCTAGCTGCATGAATTTCCCACAATGGTCGGCCGCTTCAACATTGGGTGAGGGTGACACTGGGTAGATGCACAGCCGAGTGTATAATCTAATAGGACCTCTCAAGCTGTGAAGAATTTCAATGTGTCCAGTGGCCGGATGCCTAGTGAAGAGCCGGCCAATCCAAAACCCCCGCCGTCTGGTTTTTCTAATCGCTAAAGGTTCTCCCCGCTCTACACCGGGTCACCGATCTTGTAGGGGGAAAATTCTATTACTCCGCTAGTTAGAAGAGAAGAAAGAAAGCCTGATTATCGGGTCCCGCCTATGGCGCCGGGCGGTAGCAAGAACGATGTCGGCGTCTTCAGGGCGCCTTTTTGGATTGGACAAAAACGACACGTCTGCCCGGACGACACGCCATGGAGACTGCCTCGTGCTTTGCACCTACAACGCCAGGACAGTCTCTTCAAATGCCGACCTCCACGCTCTTCTCGATCCTGCGGAGCGCATCAAATACCACATCATTGCTCTGCAGGCGAAATCCAGGAAGAAGGACGTGCGACAGATGAGAGCTGGTACCCTCATCATTCGTGATGAAAAGGTTCCATCACGAGACGTTGGGGGCGTTGGCTTTGTCGTCCACCCATCTATCGTCCATCTTGTATTCGTATGAGATCCTATCACCTCGACCAGTCATCCTACGAGCTACACTTCAGAAGACCATCAGCATTATCAACTGCTACTCTCCAACATCAGCAGCTGACGAATCAGAACTAGATGCTGTTACGAAGACGTGAGGAAGGTCGTTCGCAGCAAGATTAACACGAAGATCGGGATGCCACTAAAAAGGAATATAGGATAGGGAAGTTTGGATGTGGGCTCCAGAACAAAAACGACAACCGCCTCGTTGGGCTTCTCTCCGCCGCACGACCTTTCCATGAAAACTCCATTTTCACGAAGAAAGAACATCGCCGGTGGACATGGGTATCGCTCAACGGAACGACTGCGGGAGATCGATACATTCTCACCAACCGAAAGTAGAGCTTGCTCGATGTCTCAGTAGTTCCATCCTTCTGCAGTAGCTCCGATCACCGCCTCTTTCGAGCGAAGATACGATTCAGTCGAAAGTTGGAAAGGAAAGTCTGTCACAGTGCCGCAAAAAGGAAGGAAATCGTTTTTGACGGCAACAGGTTGGAAGAACCCATATCAAATTGTTAATGTCTCATCGAGGAGGCTCAACGTACGACTAAGAGGCTTCTGAAAAAATTGCGAATCTGCGGATTGCAACTCAGTGACTTTTGAGAAGAACCTGCAACACATTTCGAAAACGACCAAGGGATTACTCGAAAAAAGAGGATCCTTGGGGCAAGATTTGAATGCAATCCATGTCGAGCGACTGATAGCTGACGCCAGTTGCAGAACAGCTTTGCGGAAGAATCTCAGGAAGTACAGGCAAGTCAAGACACTGTAAGCAGCCGAAGAAGACGGAGCCTTAAGAGGTATCGAAGGGCTCTGCAATATCACGTGCCGCTGACCGCATTATTGAACGAAGACGGGACCGCGACTTCCCCTTTGTAAAAGATAGAATTTATTGCACGGAACTTCCATAACAACTCCTTCCGCTCATCAACACCCGTACCAATGCCCGTTGTTCCCATTGGAGAGCACCACCACGAATTCTACCTGCTGAAGTGCGCATGGCGATTTAGGCCATGAAGACGTCTACGGCTCCAGGACGTCTTCAGGACCAGATCACCTTTCGTCAAATTTCTGCGAGCGGGAGGACAACGTCTGCACGAGATTCTCGCGTCGCACCTGACATCTTACCTTCAGAAGGAGAAAATTTTCGACCAGTGGAGAACGTCAAAAACCGTCCTTCTCTTTAAAAGGTTGAACGGGAGGGGAAGATCTTCGAAACTATCGTTCAATTTGCCTGCTGAGTGTGCTGTACAAGCTTACCACGAAGTCATCAGCGCTCGCATATCTAGGACAATGGATGAAGCCCACTTTAAAGAACAAGCTAGATTTGGGAGGGAATTCAGCTGTATGGACCACATTCAAACGGTTTTTGAAGGTCGTAGAAGTCTACCGGGGATACCGACTGCCTCTTGTCCTAACCTTCGTCGAACGAGAAAGCCTTTGAGAGGTCGGAACCAACGCCATCCTGTCAGCGCTAGACGATCAAGGAGTGGTTCCAGCTACGTGAGGACATTACCCGACTGCTACAAGGATTGTACAACAACAATATAGCTATTCCATCGCCTCCTGACCATCCCAACTGGGAAAGGGGTCCGATAAGGTGACACAATCTCGCCGAAGCTGTTCACCGCGTCCTTGCGGTGGGTGACGAAGTCACTGGACTGGGAAGAGAGAGGCATACGAGTTGATGGAAGATTCCTATTCAACTTCGTTTTGCGGATGCCATCGTCCTTTTCTCGAGCAGTATCACTGAAGCAGAGGCGACGCTGAAGGAACTAAACGAAGTAGGGAAGAAGATCGAATGAATTGGAAGAAGACCCAGTTTATGGATAAGGTTCTGTGCAAAGATGCAGAAATGTAATTGGAAGGCAACCCCCATTACGGTAATTCCTTCTCAAATGTATCTCGGACGTTTGATTAAAATGGAGAACACTTGAGAGAAGAAGTCAAGAGGAGAAGAAAAGCAGTCCTGGCCGCATCCAGACCTCTGCAGGAAGCCCCAACCAACTGATGGATCTCGGCTCGTTCCCACTATACTTGGAGAGATTCAAAATTTTTCGAATGAATGAATATTGAATAAATTTGAAAATGAAAGTTTTGAATAAACGAATATCAAATAATTCGAGATTTGATTTTTGAATGTATGAATCTCGAACAAAATGGAAAATCAGAAAATTCGAATGAAAGAATATCGATTGTATTCGAACATTGGGAGTCGAATTTCGAATAACTATTTGAATGATTTATCGGATACCTGGAGCAACCGTAACTAAAACTTGCTGACATTCCCGCTAAAGCCGATTTATTCATAATCGTCACCCTCACTTAGCCCCTGTACCAACTCTTAGCCTTGTAGCTCGAAGTTTTTCAACGATAGAGTCAATAAAGCAAATTTTTATTCATAATCAGTCGTCATTTACTTCCCTGTACCAACTCCCAGCCCCTAGAATAAAAATTAATCAGCACCTTTCGCTTTTTTACTATAATTGCAATGTCCCAAAAAACCGTCAGCGAAAAATCTCTAAGGTAAAACTGAGGCAATTATGCAATTTAACAAGCAAGATTTACTAGCTGCTTACTGCGTACCAAAACCTTGGGCAAGTCATACGAAGAGCAACACGCCGGTCAACATACTTCCTTCCCGTATAAAACCTCAGACTGGATTCGATAGCTGGTGCCAGTAGCAGTGCGAACTATCTCATTGATCGAAAAAGCAATCAATAAAAGTCCATATCTAATTCTATCGCAAGGAGATGCAGGAATGCGAGTTTCCGTACAAAGGTGATCACGGCTGCAAAAAGTCGCCTCATCAAGTTTTGCGGGGAAAAAACGCAAACGAAGCGAGCTTGTTACTCAGTAGTTGGCTTTGCAACAAACTCGAGTAATTTGAATACGGATTCCATTCGAATACGCGAAAAAACATTCGAATAAAATCTATTCGAAACTCCGTTTTTTGATTACTCGAGTTTCCGAACTTTATTCGTAACCCACTTTTTTGGTGGAACAGGGAAGCGAGGAACAGGGATCACCGAAAACTTCTGTACTGGGACCCTGACGTGAGGACGGGCCATTTAAGTGTCCAAGTAAGTAAGCTGCATGATTCAGTTCAGCATTGAGTCAAACATGGCTCTGTACTGTCAAATTTGAGCTTTGCATGCACTTTTCTTAGCAAAGTAATGGCCTTTAACGGCTTATAACTTCGTCTATAAAAGCGCTAAGCAGACAAGGAATACAGATTGGATGTCAGCGTTAGGCTGCACCTAATAGTATGAAACTTACAAGGGAACCGTGTCGAGTCGAAGTGGCCTTTCCAGATGAGACCCAAACTGCTTTGCAAAGCATCAAGCGGTGATTCCAAATCTGCCTTCCAAATCTGCCAAGCGCCTCTGGACGCCGAGTTATGACTGTTCTTCGGAACGAAAAATGAATGCAGAATTTAGGTAAAATTGATTGTTAGAATCTGTCTAGCGCTCAGATAAAGCAATGTTAAGTATTAGCATAATAAATAAAATGTATCCATTGCATAAACAGCTCTGGTACTTGACATTGGACCATTTCAGCAAATTTGGGCGATTTTGCTTCAGTTTTGCGTTCAATTTTTTGACCTGAAAAACGAGCATAACCGCGTCCAGACGCGCTTGGCAGATTTGGAGAACAGAATTGGAATCAACGATTAATGCTCTTCAAAGCAGTTTGGGTCCCATCTAGAAAGGCCACTTCGACTCGAT